GAAAAAATATTATTATTTTTTAACTCTATAGTGTGCAATTATTAAATCTTTACGTAAGGGTTCCTAAACTTTAAAATTCAATAATTTATAATTGGCGGAAAAAGGAATGACGTTTTTTCTGATTTGGCGGAAAAAGGTATTGGCGGAAAACGGAAAGGTAATTTTTGGCGGAAACCGGTTACACCCCTTAAGATTCATAATTTAAATTTGTAAAGTTGTTTTAGCAAAAGACGCATACCTTGGTAGCGAGGCCGTAACTGGAAATTAATTTCGGGGGGGGGGGGGGGGTTGTAAACCAAAAATGTGTGTTCTAATTGTATTATAATATTGTGTAGGTAATTAAATATGGTTAAAAATTCATAATATTGTAGAATTATAAATAGTATTTATTAATGAAATTCACATTAAAAAAATTTTAGACTTAATATTAATTAGATTATTAAACTTAATTCTATACATTTAGTTTGAAAAATGGTTTATATTTTATATGACAAACTCTATATTTCTTTGTTTTTCATTTGAAAAACGATTGATTACTTCTTCTGGATCTACAACGATATTCCTATGTACACTGAGTAATACTAGGCCAGTCAATCGGTCTTCTCCAGTTGCATTCCTTAGGTAATTTTATTCTTTTCAGCGTCGAAAAAGTTCTTTCCGGTGTCGCCGTAGTTACTGGTAAAGTTGCCAAAACTTTTAATAAAAATGAAATATTTGGGAAAAAATTTTTGTTACAATTTGAATATGCTTCAAGTATTTCAGGAGATCGTTCTAATATTGGTTTATCACACCATTTTCTTTTCCAAAGTTTTAACTCGTTCGAAAGTGCATCCAAATCTAAAAACTCTGAGTATAATTCGAAATCACTTGCTTCTAATTCAGAATTAGTACATTTATTGGGAAGTAAAAAGCACAGCGAAGATATTATTTTTTTATGGTTAGTGAAGCGTTCTTTTAATTGTCTTATAAAATCATCAAAAAATGGTATTGCAATAGCTATACGAAAATATGTTTTTGGACAATTAGTAACAATATTCACACGATTTTGTTGACGAGCTACTATTCTGGGAATTCTAATATTTTCTTCTCCATCAATAGATTTTAAAAGAAGTTCAGATTTTTCAAAAATATCATTAACTTGATGTATGTGGTGTGTCTTCGACTTCATTTTCCAATAAATTTAATTTAGGCTTTTTTATAAAGAAATTATTCATCATAGTGTTTTGTCTTTTTGCCATTTCAAATAAATAAATTAAACACTTCGTAAATCGTAGCACACTAAAACGTCAGAACGTAAACCAAATGTCAACTAAATATTGGAAATGAATATTGCCCGTGAAAAAGTTTTAACTATTATCAAAGACTATTAAGATAAGATATAGTACTATATAATACTAAGAAATAGTTCTTTGTCGATTACACATTCTGGTGGTAATGTATTATCCCACCAAAAACATATATGTAAAATGAGAGCCAAGTTCAGTAGTTCAGTAGTTTAGTAGTTGGCTACTTTTCATATACGAATTATTATTATAAGTACCTACTAAAACAGTAATGGAAGAGTGAAGATGATTTTCCGAAGAATAAAATAAGAACTCAAAGCTTTAAAAGCTCTAAGCTTAGAACTTGCCACGCTATAATTGTATATAATTCGTAGCCAAATCAGACCTTAGGCTTCAATATATTATAATAACTTGGCACCCATTTAGATCTCACTTCTTTTGTCGTTGAAGTCAACAACCAAGGCATATATTATAGTACTGAACTCAGAACTTGGCTCTCATTTTACATATATGTTTTTGGTGGGATATCATTACTTTTTGTATGTAAATTATTATAACCTAACCTAACCTAGCCATGACGTATTCTATAAATAAAGTTTATTACTATATAATATAATTCAGTTACTAATATTAATAATAATATTTATTATAAAATATTTTCCGTTGTATATACAGAGTATAAAATATATGTAAAATTAATATACAATTATTTTAACTCTTTTTGAGTATATTTTTAATTATCATCATTTTATTGACTGTAGTTTCTACTGTTGGGTGGATAATTCATAATTTGTAAGAATAATTATTTAATTATTTTAATTGTAATATTTAAAAAAAATAATATTAATTACATACATAGATAGAAAAAAAAGTATGTTGCTGCGCGCGGGTCGACAATATCGACACATATTCGGCTAGTCGTATTTTTGGAGCGGCGATACGGGAAAGGTAATTTAAGTCAACATTACATTACATTACATTAAATTAGAGGCAATTCATTAATAAATTGAAAAATTAAACATAATACATAAAATAATTGCAAAATTATAATAAAATCAATTGATTAAAAAATTAAAAATTAAAAATTTTCAAGTTTCTGATTTTTTCCTTCGTATTTACCTAACTACCTATCTGTATGCCAAATTTGAACTTTCTAGGTCATCTGGAACTGGGTTAGAATTTTGATCTATAGGTAAGTCAGTGATAGAAATGATGATTTTCGGACGTTAATATCTAAATAACGGTTTGAAGTGTGTTTATGAAATTTAGAGCACATATGTATCTCGTTAGTCTCAATATATGAGCCAAATTTGACATGTTTATGTGGAATAGTTTTTGAGTTACGAGGGGGTCAAAAGTGGCTCAAAATGGTTCGTGTAATATTACACACGGCGGTGCTGCTCGCCAGTTCTGTTAGCTAGAACTTGGCTTGACACGCTTCCGCGTGTCTAGATACATATATACCTATGTAGTATGTACCTATAATATTATCAAGAAATCCAGCTGATAGGTAGGTACACTCGAAGTGAAGTTATTTTTAAGTTTATAACGTAGACCATAGCTGTCATTCGTATATGCACGTATCAATGTTTATCGATTATTCTAGACTGAAATAGTTATTGTATTACGACATAAAATAACGAGAAAAATTTCGGGGGGGTGTGAACCCCCAAACCCCCCCCCTAGATACGGCCTTGATTGGTAGTAAGAAAATTTCAAAAAAGCAATACAAAAATATATGCGTATAGAAAATACTAGAAAATAATTTACTAAAAAAAAATTATGCATTTTATGATAAACGTAGATAAACTATTATGACGAATCTTGAATTAAATTTTAGATTCTTAGAAATCTTAAATTTAAAAAGAATAATTTTTATGATTTTCTAACTCAAAATAGTTTGCAAATTTTAGTGATTTATTCGTATTTTGTCAAAATTTGAATTTAAAATGCTTATAAAAATATGTATTTTTAATATTTTTCTAACTGCTATTGTAACAGTATATCAGCCTGGGGAACTTTTCTACTTTATCGGACACACTTTTTTTTGCAATTTTTACGGACTTAGTTTTGAAGTTATGGTCTAATAAAGTTCTCTATTTTGAAATTTTCACGCATTCGCGCAACACTAGTTTACTGCACCTATCAGGGGCGGATCTAGGAATTTTTTATGGTTGATGCTAGTTTGCGTATTATGGTCATAAGGTACTTATATTAGTTATTATGGAAAAAAAATTAATAATTTGAAGCTTAAATGGGTAGGAAAATCAGTCTTGCAATGACGCAATGTGCATTTGTTTTGGATATTACCTACATAAAGAGTTTGACTTAAAATTGTTAATTAAGATAATTGTATCAAAACATTATATAATCATTTTATTTTTTTTTTTTTAAATATGTAGATACATAATTAAATGTATGAATTTTAAAATTTGATCCGAGTGATTCTTGAGGTGTGTTTACGAAATTTGGGGCACATATGTATCTCGTAAGTTTCAATATATGAGCCAAATTTGACATGTTGATGTGGAATAATTTTTTAGTTAGGAGGGGGTAAAAAATGGCTTCAAATGGTTCGTGTAATATTACACACGGCGCTGCTCGCCAGTTCATATCAGTCATATCCATGATACACAAATATATTTTGTCATGGTCATATCTAACTGATAAGTCGTTCTCACTTCTCGTTCATATTTTTATTCTGTGTTCATATTGACATTATATTCCGATTGATAATTAATATTATAGGAACCATGGCAACATGACCTAATGAACCTTATGTAGTTATGTAGTAACAGTAAGGCACTAAGCCTATACTACAATCATTATTATAATAATAGATATTTTATTGCTATCGAGTTTTCAGGTAAGAGCGAAAAAAAAATCAATATTCGAAATAGGTGCAGTAAACTAGTGTTGCGCGAATGCGTGAAAATCGCAAAATAGCGAACTTCATTAGGCCATAACTTCAAAACTAAGTCCGCGCGCCAAATTTGGACTTCACCATCGTTTTCAGCGTGCTTAATTACATTAGTTTTAAATAAATTGCAAAAAAAAGGGTGTCCGGTAAAGTAGAAATATCCCTTTAAATTTTGACTTCTCAAATGCATAAACCAGATTCACTTTCTCATCTAATAAGATACTGTTGAAGAAAATCGAAGCATTTTTACTACCCCAAATGGTGATGACTGATGACAGTATGACACATACCAGACAGACACAAAACTACAAAAGTAGGTAAATAAAAAATCACTAATCATTGTATCAATACGTTCTCCGCTCAAAATCTAAAATTCACTTTTATGAATTAAGAACGTTTCATTGAACCATATTGAATGTACGAAACTGTACCTAAAATATTATAAGCGTGTGTATTTATAGTTATTTTGAGTACAGATAAAAAACTTTTCAGATAAATGCCGATAAGCCTTATCGTGGCCACCACGTTATCAATTATCATTACTATTATTATTATTATTGTCGTCGTCGTGTTCGATAACCGAAATCGGAACAAGACGAACACCGAATTGGAGTATTCAATTATAATATTAATAACAATAATTAACAATATTATAACTGTAGCAATTAAAATGTTTACATTCCCACGTCCCTCGACATAGCAACAACGATATTGACGTCGGTGCGACCCGCATCCCTTGAAACAACCACCGCCTACACTAAAATCCACTACCACCCGCGGATACAAAAAAGCCAGAAATGGGCAACGCTGACACCAAACTAGTATTCCGAAAAGCCGTTGTTCAGCTGACGTCTAAGACCCAGGTAAGTGCGAACCGTGATGTGGGTAGGTGTCTGTTTTAACCGCGTCTCCATGTTCGTACACAGACCATCAGCGCTGAGGACAACGATTTCTGGGATCAGTTCTGGTCGGAGACCGTCACTAACGTACAGGACGTGTTTACTCTTGTGCCGGCTGCCGAGATCCGGCTACTCAGGGAGGATGTACCAGCTAATTTGGCCACGCTGTGCTACAAAGCGGTTGAGAAGTTTGTCAAGGCTGTGGAAAACAGCTGTCGGACACAACAAGATCAAAATACAGGTGAATACTTACTATTGCATCACCCGATTACCCGAATTAGATTCCAATGTTGTTGTTTATTTACTTTATTATTTTATTTTTTTCGGTTACACCTACCAGTCTTGAACTGCTCGCGGCTATTGACCAGAGTGCTCCCATATGTCTTTGAGGAACCAGACTGGGAAAACATATTCTGGTCCAGCTTGCCGGCCGGCAAAGGCGATCCGCCCATACCATTGGCACATTCGTTGTGTAGTGCTATATGTGTATGTAATCAAATAGTAGGATTTAAAGTTTTATAAGATATTTATAGATTTTGTTTTCAGGATTTATTGTTTTGCCCAGATTTTACAGTCGCGTCCAATCGTAAAAACGGTCCGGTAAGTTTCAGTTGCTTATTTTAATTGGGAAAACTGTCATAATAATTTAAAAAATGTCTAGTTGTCTCTAAAATAATTATATTAAGTACAATATTCAATATCAAACTAATATAAATCATAAAATCATGCACTTCTCAACTCTTCAATTTTTTTTTTAAATCTAGAAATGTGCATAACTATAAATTAAAATACAATTCCAGCGTTTTTTCAATCTCTTTTAAGCAAAATTGTAATGGAAATAGAGAATTATGTTCCAAAAAAAAGAAATTTATGTTCTTATCATATCTAAATAAACAATAGTAATAACAAAATACATCTCAAAATGGATAAAGTTACATGGCAGAGATTATAATTCATAACTTAACTACAACTACATGTGAACCAAGAAAACAAATTCAGACATAATAAGATCTAAACAAATTAAAATTGTTAAAAAAGAAGAGATGTTGTAGGTGATAATATTACTAAAATTATAAATTAGGTACTTAAAATAGTATTATTCAAATTTAATATTAGCCACCTATTGACACATTTCTTTGCACAGTTATGTGAAATAGAGCATACATTTATCTTAGTTTCCAAATTCATGGACTTAAAACATACCGGACCAGGATGGTCTAGACATTTTTGACCAAAATTAGTTTTTAATTAATTTACTGTCGCGTCATATGCTCTACAATTTCTTTTGTTTCTTAACCAGTCACAGGATTACAAATTTTTTGTACAAAATATTAAAAGGCATTACTTTAAGTTTTCTATAATTTTGTAGAGTAGAATTAACTAGGCTATGCTTTCCTTGAAAAACTCTAATTGCCTTATTCTGCTATACCTTAAGTATTTTTAAGTAATATTCAGACAGATCAACCCATACGTTAATACCATAATGGAAAACAGTCTGATAAGGGATAGATAAAGATTATAAATACAGTCGTTTGGTAGAATTGAACTAGCGGAATAAAATTGATGTACCGTAGAGCGTAATTTCATTACCAGATTACTGATGTGTAAGTTCCAATTCAAAATGTATGTTTAAAAAAAAATGGGTAAGTCCATGTCGCCCTGCTGTACAGTAGGTTACAAGTGGGTCATTGTATAATGGATTTTATTAAACTTGAATTCAATGATATAATATCATTGTATAAGAAAAACAATTCTGAGCGGAGACTATTTGTCAGTTATTATTGGTTTGGTTTTGTTATTATTTATTATATCATGTAAGTTGAATTAATATCATAATATTGTTATTTTTTTTTCGTTTCTATGGTGATAAACAAAGCGTTAGAAATTAAAATCCCATTTTTAGCGGTTTTTCGTAATTTATTAAATAACTATCAGTGGTTGAATTGGGGGGGACGCGGGGGGACGGAGTCCAACTTCTATTTTTAAAATATTTTAGCGTACCCCTTCTAATTTCAAGAATTGATAAGACATTTAAATGTTGGGGGACGCACAAATGTTTTATACTTTTGCATACCCCTTCTATTTTTTTTCCAATTCAAGCACTGATAACTATTGATGATATTTAAAGTACCATCTTGATCCAATTTGCTAAAAGATAAGGTACTATATGTTGAAATCAAAACACTCCTTCTGGTAGAAATTTTTTGTATACCGGATATAAAAAAAAAAAAAAAAACATTGTAAAACCACTAGCTTCCTCTCTCCGCTCAGAATCTAAAACATGAAAGTTTGTAATTATTAATTTACAGTTTTGATTGTAATAATTACATGATATATTCTTCTAGGATAAAGCAGAAGATTTACATGCTGTAGATAGCTGTGAATACATTTGGGAAAAAGGAGTGGGTTTTGCACAATCTCCTGTAAAAAATGCAACTTTTGAATCGAATCGCACTGAACTACTGCGTTTACTGTTGACGTGTTTCAGTCAAGCTATTTATTCACCGAATCAAAGTAAGGTGTCTTGTAAGGATGCCATACCTGTATTTGTTGTCTCAATCTTACAACTTTATAATTCATTAAAATAGAAAATATATGTTTGATATTCATGTTAGGCTGTGTTAGTGAATGTTATAAATGTTTAAAATGTATAAAATATTACAATTTAAAAATGCTCATAACTTGCTCAAAAATAAAAATATCAGTAAAACACTTTTTTCGACAAAACTTACTGTCAATATTGTTACCTTGTTACCTATGTTTGAATAGTTTGATAGTTAACTCTAATATTAAAACTAACGAGGCTAAATGTAAGCCGCTGTATGTAAATTTCCTATGTTATTCACCTGTAAGACAAAAATAATGAATGAAAGTATGGTGTCCACTTATTAAACATCATCCAATATTTTGATTAAGCTCTTATTTTTAATATGAATATTTGATACATTATAGATGGTAATAGATGGGTACAGTATGTAACCTCGGCCGAAAATCGCCACGCATTGCCTATGCTTACATCTCTTTTGAACACTGTGTGCGGTTACGATCCTATTGGCATGGGTGTTCCATACAATCATCTTCTATTTGCTGACACATCTGAACCATTAGTTGATATGTGTCTACAAATCATTATTGTCGCTCTAGATTCTGATGTGCAACAGGTATGTATTAATAAATTATGCAATGTATTTTATATATTTATTATACTGTGTTTGTTGAAGAATGATGAAGCAGCCATAGACAATTTGTTTATTAATTATTTATCAAGAGTCCATCGAGATGAAGACTTTTCATTTATTTTGAGTGGATTTACAAGGTTGTTAATGAACCCCCTACGACAGACTTATCTTCCACATTCCACCAAAAAAGTTCAATTCCATCAAGAGCTGTTGATATTCTTTTGGAAAATATGTGAATTTAATAAAGTAAATCCTTAAACTATCTTGATTTATAGTGAATATGTTTAAATTAATTAACTGCTTATTCATTTTATACAGAAATTTCTATACTTTGTACTCAAAAGTAGTGATGTCCTTGATGTTTTAGTACCAATTTTGTACCATTTAAATGATTCCAGAGCAGATCAATGTAAGTGACAACAAGATATATAATCCCTTAATGTTTATTATTCAGTTAAACATTTTATTTATTTTATTTTTCAGCTCGAATTGGTCTTATGCACATTGGGGTATTTATTTTGCTATTACTTAGTGGTGAGAGGAATTTTGGAGTACGTCTCAACAAGCCATACACTACAACAATACCCATGGACATACCAGTGTTCAGTGGTACACACGCAGATCTTCTTATTGTTGTTTTTCATAAGATAATCACAACTGGACATAATAGAATGCAACCGCTCTTTGACTGTCTCCTAACAATCCTAGTGAATGGTCTGTAATTAATAATTATAGTATTATAATAATATCTCGGAACAAAAAAATATGCAATAAAATTGTCTTAAATATTAAATAGTATAAATAAAAAGTTATGATTATATAAATAATAATTAATCTACTAAAATTATGTGTTAGCTTTAGATTTACAATAATTTTGTGAATAATTTGTATAATATTTTGTTTTCAGTGTCTCCGTATTTAAAAACTCTGTCGATGGTGTCGAGTACAAAGCTTTTGCATTTAGTGGATGCATTTACAACTCCTTGGTTTTTATTTTCTTCGCCATCTGCCAATCATCTTGCTTTTTTCTTGTTGGAGATTTTCAATAATATCATACAATATCAATTTGATGGTTAGTACTTAGTAACACTGAGGCATCACTTTTGGATAATATGTTAATCTTATTTTATTTCATTAGGTAATTCAAATTTAGTATATACAATTATACGTAAGAGACAAGTTTTTCATAGTTTAGCAAACTTGCCAACTGATTACAGTACTATTATCAAATCTCTAACTAAAAAGGCAAAGAGAAATATGCAAGCCACTAGCTCTGTTAGTCTAACAGCTGCTACTGAAACACCAAGTATGGAGGGATCTACACCTGCATTGCCCGCAGAGCCTGGAACTCTTAATGCCACACTTCCAGATACTCCTGGTAAGAAGACTGTTTACAACTAACTAACCATGTTTCCATTTTATAACTAGAGTCTGGTCTTTTTAACTGTTGAAAAGCTCAAGCATTCTAAACCCTAATATTATTTACCTAACTTAATATGCTTTTAAAATTATTCAAGTATGGAATTAAAATATGGTACTTGATATAATTGGTGATTACTTGTAAAATGTAAACTGTAATAATTGGTAATATTGCTTTATAATATGCAAAATAACTTATTTATGTCCATTCTAAGTTGTAAAAGAAATTGATCACAATTCGTCGCTCTATGCAAAGCCGGACTCTAATTATTTCTTTAAAGTGCTACTAAATTATAACGTGCATTTTTCTGCCTTTGCTAACTGGGTGTAATGTAATGAATGTCAGGCGTAATGAAAAATAAACAGACGTGAACGTGCTCATACGGGAAATTTAACATTACCCGCTGAACTGGTTACCTCTAATGGCATGACAAAGGAATTTATGAAACAATCTTCTAACCAAGGAGATTGCTCTCCAACAACATCGTCGCCTAAGGTTTTAACTTTTTCACATAATATAATTAAAAGCTTAAAATATTGATAAAACAGTTTAATCTCGCATGATATTTTGCTTGTTTTTTAAAATTATATAGGTCATTAAGATAATAATTAACTAATATTCTTGTATTTAGTTCAATAGACTTTTAGTAATATCTATCAGATATTTGAAGAATGTTTAATTAAATGCTAATGTAGTAAAGTATTTAGATATTAAGTAATACTATTTAGTATTTACCAAATATATTTTTTTCTTTACTTGATGGCCAATGGCCATCAATTATTATAGATAATGAAAATTAAAAACTATTGAAACGATGATTATATTCTTATGTGTTGACGTGTTGTATTTATATGTGTTACCTTTAACCTGTGTGTATACACATGTCTAGAATGATGCTGAATGGGCTCCGACCACAGAATGGGTACGATCTTGGAAGGAAAAACTGCCATTGCAAACAATTATGAGATTACTGCAAGTACTAGTGCCTCAAGTGGAAAAAATATGCATAGACAAGTATAATGATTTATTAATAATTATTCGTTGTTCACCCAAGCCTTTATTTCCTGCAACGAGTTTAAATTTTTTATTTGTTGCTGTGGAGATGGATTATTATATTTTAAATTATATTGTTAATACTCGATAATGAACATATTGTATATGATATTTGCAGAGGTTTAACAGATGAAAGTGAAATACTCAAGTTCTTGCAACATGGTACGTTAGTAGGACTGTTACCTGTCCCTCATCCAATACTCATAAGGAAGTATCAGTCAAATCCAGGAACAACTGCTTGGTTTCGAACTTATATGTGGGCTGTTATATTTCTTAGGTATTGATAATTATAATAATTAATAATGAAATTTCAGATTCAATGTTAACGAATGTATTTTAAATGCATATGGTTTTTTTTTTTAGAAACATTGATCCTCCTATTTGGTATGATACTGAAGTGAAACTTTTTGAAATACAACGCATGTAGGATTCTTATAATGTTTGTTGTTTGTTTTGATTTTGGAGAAGACAATTTTTATGAGAACAATTCTTTAATGCATTATGCATTTTATGTTTTTTTAATGTGTGAACTTTTTTCCTTTTTGGATTTTATTGAGTTCTTTGGTATTATTGAATGTGAGCATCTTAAAGTGATTCTTGTCTATTAAAAAAATACATTTCAGTTATATGTTTTTATGTACAGTAAAACCTTGCTAAGATAGAATCGCTTAGGACTGTCCAATTATTTGATCTTAAGGGGTCTTGCACATGACCTGTTTTTTTAGCCAAAAACATGCCTTACAAGAAAAACTCTCACAATCTGATTTTTTTTTTTTGAAAGGGAAACATTTCTTACAGGGTGCATTGGACTTGGATTTTCAAAATTCTATTTCTAAACCATAAAATACGATTTTGAATATGACCAATTTTCACAATATTTTGTTATTTTTATTGTTTTTGTTTTAAGCAATGAAATTAAAAATCAAAGGCCTCTGTAGAAAATTCTCCTGTTTCTAACAAAAAAATAATTAATCAAATTAGTCCACTCTACAATACGTGAGTTTTTCCTGTAAAGCGTGGTTTGAGCAAAAAATCAAGCATTTTATTTTTGGTCAGCGGTGCCGTTGATATGTGCACATGCAGTATGTGAGTAGATATACCGGTACCCTCACACAATCACACTCACACTAATCATTATTGACGACAAAATTGCATATTGCCAAATACTGCCCCTTATTGAAGACGCACGAGCAGGCCCCTTAACAGAGTTTCCGAACTTGATGGGATTCATTATGTATCTTAATCGGGAACAAATAAATTGTTTGTGTTAACCCCTTCAATCTTACCGAAGTTTTACTGTATATACATCCCTAATTTGTAAGTCTGAACAATGGCAAAATTGAATAATATGTTAATATTCTCTATGAATTTATATTTTTCTAACATAGGTTAGGACAGAAAACATACTATAGCCGTGATAGAAACTTCATTCCCAAAATAACAATATGAATATTGTATATGTGTTATTATAATAAAAAAGTTATCAGCTACTATTTTAATACTGTTGGGTATATTTTTTCACATAGATAACCCAATCACATTATAACTATATAAACTTTTTTTAACTGTTTAAAATGTATAATTTATTATGTACTATTTTATACTTAGACCTTGATAAATGGTGCTTTGTAAAAAAGCTAGAACAATTACTTATGATAATATAATATAATAACATTTAATCTATTCAAATATACGAAATGATATGGCAACTGATGCAATGTATAACTATACTCATGTTTAATCTTTTGTATATTATAATATATTAATATCTCATTACATAGTATTCAGTTCAAATTAATGATTTTGGGAACAGACATAAAATCACTTTAAGATGTATTTTTGTACCACGAGTTTAATTTATGATTTGTTATATTTAAATATTTGTGTTTATTAAATGTTTGCAAAAAAAAAAACTATTTTGAGATTAACAGTATTTTATTAACTTATTTCTGATAAAATATAATATATTTATACATATATATGAATAACTGATACTGTATATTTTATTGTAATCTCTATCATCTAAGATAGGTAACGTTAGTATCAACCACAATAGCATGTAAAAATTCAAAATATGTATACAAAACCCTAGTACTATCTTACTTGGTATGAATGAGTTCAGTACTTATAGTACTGTATTTATAATCAATGGTACTACGGAAAATGACACAATAGGAAACTATTCAGTGTAGATAGATTTAAAAAAAAAAAACCGGGTAAGTGGATAACGCTCTGCTGTACATAGAGTGTCTAAAAGTTATGTAACAGATGTGTTAAATTTGAATTTGACGATATAAAATTGTTGTACATAAATATGAAAAATGATTACTGCAATATAACTAAATATACGTTATGATATTAAAATATACGTTAAGATTAAACTATTAAAGTAATTTTTTTAATATTAGGCATTAGTACTACTACAGTATTAAATTTTGACGAAAAAATTGTATTTGAAAATATCATCGGTGTGTATAAGATATAATAATATACTTAAAAAGTTTCAAGCCTCCTTAAAATATCTACAAAAAAAAAACATGCACATATATTTTATTAGCTACAGTATAAACTATCTATGGCAATCCTTGTATTCAATTTTCAATCCTCAGCTATGAAAATTGAACATTTTAATTATTTTTAACTGCAAAATAATTTGCGCATTTTCGAGATTTTGGTGAAAACGTACTTTAAATATTTAAAAAAAAAAAATCGTGACTGTATCTTTAATAAATCTCAAATGTTATTACAACAATTAATGAAGAACCTTTAATACATTTTCAAGCATTACGACACAACAAAAATTAATGACCCAATTAACATTATTTTTTTTAAAAAAACTGAAAATTTTAAATTTTAAATATATATAAATAGCTCAAAACGAGTCAAAATATTTTGAAAATGTTATCGTGTATAGAAAATGCTAATATAAAACGTTCAGTAAAAATAACATGTATCTATTCATTTTTTTATAGTTAAGTACATCGTACATTAAAAAACAAAATAGATTTTGCGTAAAAACAGTTTTTCACGAGACTTTTGAAAACTTTTGAATTTTGACCTACATTAGTATTGCACCAACTAGATTCACTTAGATGAAAATCTAAGTATTATTTCGACTACGGTATCGTGTACAGACAAAAAAACACTCATATTGTAAAATTAATAAATTCATCGCTCCACTTAGTAACTAAAAGCACCAAATATTTCATAGTACCTATACTTAAATACAATATTATGTGTTTTGTGTTGTATTTGATCACTATTTTATATTATTTACGTTGGAGTACTTATATTGATCAGGAAAGGAAATAAATAAACATGCTTTCAACATTTGAACCATAAAATATTATAATAATTGTTCATTTTATAAAATATCATTACAAATTATAATAATAACAAGGGGAGGGATAAACAAAATTTGGATTAAAATTATATATTTTATAATAATATATTAACAATCGAATGATTGGTACACAATTGTTTTGTTTAAATAATTTTTTTTTTTTTGGTTTCGTAACACGATAATATTTGTGCGGTCTTTTTGTTTAGAAAAAAAAAATGTATATAATATTATGTTGTGCGCTATTATTATTATCATTATTCATAATAATATATGGTACATAAATAAATATTATATCGTCATTTTGTACTCGCTAACAGAATAAATAAATTAACTAGACACGATTGTACAGAAATGTTTAATAGTAATATATATGTAATGATAATAATAATTATATTATAAAAACAAACAAAAATCTAAGTGTGATGTTTCTTGTTCGGAGCTTCCGTATAAAAGAAAAAAAAAATATAATAGTAATAATAAAACTAAAAATTATAATATATTATTATTATATATATAAGTAATAAAATGAACTAAAAAATCATACAAACAAATTGAGAGAGCTCTTTATACGTATATAATATATATATATATATTTGTTTGTTGGGGTTGGTGAACATTCAGATCGTTTTTCCTATTATTTAAAATAATATACATTATACACACGTTTTGACCGCAGAAAAGAGCGCAACAATAATTATTCGAAATATAATTGCGAGTCAGTTAAAACAAAAACGTGGTCTACGGTGGTAATTTTGGCAACAAACGTAATCAAAAGGCCGCGACGGCCTTTAAATTTTACTCTTGTAAAAAACGAAAACAGAAAAATTAAATGAATAGAGAAAGCCGACCGACCGTCCGCCCGTCGCTCTTTTCGAGCGCCTTTCGATGTTGTTATTTTATTCCACCATCATCATTAACAATTATTATTATTACTGTCGAGATTCATTTTATTCCTACCAACTCACGAATGTCCATCAATTGAGATTCAAACGATTTTATGTTAATAACGCATATAATATAATAAAGTATATCACACAAACGTATAGGCGTTCTAAATCTAAGGTAAATATTTTTTGTTTTTTTTTTTTTATTTATTTTTTTTTTGTCATGATATTTTGTTCATAGTTATTATTTATCAATATATTTAAACAATATTTGGAAACGGGTCTGCCCGGAGGAGGAGCGTGTGAATCGGAGAACGAATAATAATAATCATAATATAGGTAATAACAATTAAAATAATAATATAAATAAATAAATGGCGTACAAAAGATTCGGATGTACAAAATTCGGGGAGGGTTCCTAAATCGGTTATATATATATAAATACCTATAATAGTTTAACTTTAAAAAAAAAAAAAATATTTAGTGGTCGTGGGAGAAGAGTAATGAATGGGTCGGGATGGTCGGCTTTTTACGCAATATTGACGACGACACGATAACGTAGACAGCAGTTAATTAATTATGTAATAAGGATAATGTATAATAATATGTGGTGTGTGCGTGTTTAATTATTTTTTCAAAAAATATTACTAAAATCGTTGCCCAAGTCTCTCACTCAGTGTCAGAGGAGGGTATGTATATCAGACGGGAGGAAGTTAAAATAATCTACATGCATCTCGTCATTGTGTCGTCAAATATATATGTATATCAATGGATCTAATAGTATAATATATATATTTATATTATTTTTTATGGCTGCCTTATTACACATATATATGCATGAGTAAAAATTATAGTTAATCGTAATGTAAATATGTATATAATAATCTCATAGGATAATATTATTATATTATAATCAGTACGGGGTGAATCGGTTGTAGCCACTTCGGTACATTGGCTGAAATCAAATATAAAAACAAAACATTGTATTACACAGTAATAGAATCTAGACACGCGGTAGCGTGTCAAGCCAAGTTCTAGCTAACAGAACTGGCGAGCAGCACCGTGTGTAATATTACACGAACCATTTGGAGCCACTTTTAACCCCCTCATAACTCAAAAACTATTCCACATAAACATGTCAAATTTGGCTCATATATTGAGACTAACGAGATACATATGTGCTCTAAATTTCATAAACAC